ATCCTCCTTGACTACGGAAAACCTTACGAACATCAGAGTTAGACTGCTATGTCTATATTCTTAAAACAGGAGAAATTAAACGACCTTCAGTTTGTCAAAAACTATTGCAGGAATTTCCCAACTTTTGTTTCTACTTACTTCTTTTCGTGCCTTAGGACATCCTTCACTAATGGCAGGGTCATCAGATGTGAAACTGTGATCTCTAAAGTACACAAGAATAATAAACACCTCTCTTGTAGCTCCCTTACTTTTTCTTTTCCCAATGACAAACGCAGGAACAATGAAAAAGTGCATCAGTATCACAGGGCAACCCAAGCCCATGCTGCACCGTGCTCTTGTTTCTGAGACCCTCCCAGAGAGTTTAATTTCCAGTGCACAAGACTCCACATTACAGTCACTCCTGTGTGCTGTATGTCTCAACACCTGTTCTGCTTATGGGCATTACAGAAGAATCAGCATCCACACCTTCATTTATTTCCATAATGCTTTTATTTGTTCACTGCTTCCCCAGTTATCAGTGACAGCTACTCCAAAGTGAAATCCTGCTGGTAGCTAGAGAACCACTATTCTTCGTCCTATCCGTTTTGTAGTTTCTATCATCCCTGCCATTGCCTGAAGTCACTTCTGATTATACAGATTACTCCCTTTCTAAACACTTCTGGGGACTTCCCAATTAAAAACACAAGCCATGTGATTTCACGACACAGAGCACATTTACCACTAAAAATTTCTAGCTACTGCATAGCTCTCAGGAAGTAAACAGTTTAGTCACTATGGTCAAAATAAATATAAAGCACAGGACCTAAATGAAAAGGTCAGATTCCAACAACTCATCTCTAGAACCCTCCTTAATCCCCTCAGCCATCCAACCATAATTGATAAAAGCAATCTTCGCGCTAAAAAGCATGGAAAAGAACTGGTTAGCTGTAGCCTGCTGCTACTTTCAACTGCAAGTTTCCAGTAGCACAGATGAAAACAAATTAACGGCTTGATAATGTAACTTTATCTGGATGAATTTATAATTTCTCCTCTTGGGACTGTCCTTGTAACTAGATACCTCTGTTCAACGCTGCGTAGATGTGTAACAAATAGAACTTTTCTTCCACTTTTTTGTTCCAATGAATTGTTTCTTAGATTTGAGGGACAGCCTTAAAGCACAGTATCATAACCTGCCAAATATCAAGGGTCAAAACCAGACGTATTTGTTTCTTGTTCAGTTCCAAAGAACAGCACTTATGCAGCCAGGAGCGCAGCAAAGAGGACTTCAGCACACTCTGACGCTCCATAAGCGGATCGGTGCTGAACAGCCGAAACCGTTTAGTCTGTGGATCCTGAACTCCGGCACCCGACAGCCTACTGTGAGCAGAAACCAGACTCTCCTTATGGGAACCATCTCTCTGCTTTTAGCACTTGGGGTTTTGTAGCACAAATTGTCTCACGGCAATTAGAAGACAAAATAGAATTCAGCACTTTGCATATTAAATCTTTGTGCCACTTCTTATCACATTATCTGTGAATAATTGTGGAGTGAGTACGTTAGTAAAACATTAACAAGTTTTTTGGGGTTTTTTTGTGTGGGTTTTTTTCTTAATTCACAAAGTAGGATCCTTAAATACAGTTTCTAGACAGACATACGTTTCCTCAACTGGGTTGATTTCTAGATATTAAAAAAAAAATAGATACAATTGTTGCTATAATCTCCCTTTTAGGAAAATACATAAATAAATCCAGGCTTCAAAATAATGATCCAAATTGCTATTAGTTAAAAACTACACAGAAGACAACAAAGTCCATGACAAAGCTCTGCGCAAAAGACAGGACAACTGGCACGTTTACAGATGGACCAACAATTACTTTACCGAGTTCAGACTTAACTACTTCAGACTTTTTCACATCCCATAGTTTTCCTTTAGAGGACAGTCCTCAAGTTAGCTGCATGGTTCTCAGTTCATTGCTAACTAATTAACAGCAATTTCCAGAAGGCATGCATGAGTAAATAAAAATTCTACTAAAAATTGGTATTCCAGAGCTCTGTCCTGAAATTAAATGATTTCATTAAATGAAGGTGCCCTTCTGGGTTTCGTATGCTCACAATACTTCTATCCATTAATCCACTTATAACTCCTTCTAAATTCTTTAATGAATTTAAAACATTACTTCTTGAAAGCATAAATAGACACTACTTCCAAAACCCAAGAACTGGTTTTAAGATTAAATATAGGGTTTATAACTTCATGTTCTTTACATAATTCTTAGTGCAGGCATAATTTATCAGACTGTGAAGATAAAATACTCCAAAGTCTACATTGTCCCACATTTCCAAAGCCTTAGCATCTTAATGGATGAAAGTTTGTGGTTTGTTTTTCCTATCAGTGGCAGGGAAAAGAAGTTCTTTTGAGAAGGGTACCAGGTGAGAAAGTCCTTGTACTGTCAAAGCCAGCTTAATGAGATGATCCATTTAAGTCACTATTATGATTTCCCAAGAAGTTACCTGCAAAAGGAGCAAGAGAAGCTTCACATTCTGTTCCTCAGAACCAAGAAGAAAACTATTGTATTGTACCCAATGCTTTCTTCCCTGCCTTATTTCTATTTCACGGCTTCACCGGTCTATAACAAAAGGAAAAAAGAGATGTCTGATGTTGCCAGCATTCAGTGAATATCCAAATTAAAGAACAAAACTTCAAACTGCACAGCCCTATCCCTTCCACTTCATCTCTCTCACACGATGCACTGGAAAGGCATAAGTACTTGAGATCTGCAGGCTTTCAGAGAAAACAACTGCTAGAAAAGAGAGGAGTGTGAGACTAGGAGGGAAAAAAAAGAATTGCAACAGGACTTATGCTCCTCTTTCACGTCTCAACATCTCCACTACATATTCACAGCAAAGCTTAATAAAAACCAGTACAAGTATGGGCCATTTATTGGTACTTTGGTGGATCACACCTTCAAACAGGAATAGCTTGTGCCTGCTGTAAGGATTTAATATCCCATTGGAGTAACTTCTCATACGTCTCAGACTAAAAGACATGGTTGAAAGCAGCAGCTTTTACAGGCAGCCTCCATAAACTCATGTAAGTGCCACTGGACTGTTTTCCTAGCAATGACCACATCAAACCCAGTAATGAGATCCTTATTTTCTTCCTAAAAACCTTCCTTCTCTCCATTGTCCATACTTTTCTCCATAAAAAAGATGAGGGGTCAGCTGTTACGGTGCTACTCTGTAGATGAAAGCAAAGGTTCTATTCCCTTCTCTGCCTGTATGACCTTGAGCCACCCCGCGCCATCACTGCGGTACCCAGCCGTACCGAGTTAATTTAAGAGGCTTGACAGTGCAGGAGGGCGGGCTGAGGAAGCAGCCCAGACACTGGGCTGCCTTGGCTTCTCACGACTACTGGCCTGGACTGCTACTTCAGGTACGAGAGTCTGTGAGCAGTACAAACACACACACAACAAAAAAGGCAAGAATTTCAACCGTGAATTTGCCCAGAAGATGTTTCATGTAATTCACAAGTAACACAAAGCTAATGCTTTAAGTCTTTTGCACTACTGCAAAAGAAAACCCCAACGCAAAAAAAAAAAAAAACCCCAAACAAAACAAACAAAAAAAGCCCCCAGTAATTGCAAATGGTTGTAGTTTGCCTTTTTAAAAATTAAAGCTGGCTTGAATGACAAGAATTGAAACAGATTCTGTATACAAAACCTGCCTTTCCCACTTTCTGAGTACTTTGCAGATTTCTGCTCTTTAATATTTCAGCTCAGAGCCATTCAAAATTGGCAATTATAGCAATTATAAAAACCAAAATGATATAATGAAAAGTATAAAACAGCACAAGCATGTCAAATTTACACCCCCTTTCCTTCCTAGAATGGACATGCCCATTTCAAGAAAAGCTCCCACATTTTCTGTTGGTGCACCACCTCATAACTAGCTTTTCAGTTTTTCCTATGTGGCATCACAGCACAGGAACTCAAAGGCTTCTAAAAAGTGTAACAAGATGAGGTGAAAAAGCCTCAGATACCAACACAAGAACCATTTTAGAGAACTCAAACTCCTAACTATTCCTCATTTAACAGTGCTTGTCATACAATTCAAAACTATTTATTTTCACATGTATTTCAAGTAAGGAATTTTGTGCAGTTGACATCAGCTTCTAAATGAGATAATTTAATACAGTAGATGCACTGCAAATCTTATGGAGTATGTCCTGAGAAATTTTTTCCAAGATATTCCTTCTTCTAATGTCTAACCAGTCTTTATTACATGCAGAAAAAACACCTCAGTATTAGTTCTTGGTTGCCAAAGCAGACTGAAATAGGGGCAAAAGTAAGTTAGTATAAGGAAAATTTTAAATTGTTTTATTGCAAACTCGTTAGTCTCACTAAGAATGCTTTCATTTTAATAGGTCAAAAATTACTAGTTCCATCTCCAAATCCAGACTCAAAAGAATTCTTCTTCTCAATGTGTTCCAAAGAACAAAAATTAGAAACTTGTTAACACTGAGGAAACCTCAACCCATCTACCTGATCCATCGCAGCTAGAATGGCATACTTAAGTTTATGAACAAAATAAAGTATAAATCAACAAGCGTAAAGTATATGTTAAGCCTACAAGACCTTTACATTCAAACTACTTTTGGACCTTTGGTAAACTTCATTCTTTCTAGAGAATGATAAATAGCCATCCAAGAATAGTTTCTGTTGTTTTACACTATGTAGATGCATATTCAGATAGCACCAGACTCTAATTATTTGGAACTCAAGATATCAAACAGCTAATAGGATTTTAGAAATAACAGACCATTTATTTGCAAGGTACCAGATCTCTCTCACTCTCAGCATATTTTCAGGGTGAGTAACCTCTACTACTGGACTGACGAGATAAATCAAACCGATGACAAAAGTTACACAGAGGCAAAAAGACGTTACTTATGAAAAGTAATTTAATAAAATGTCCACAGGTAACTCAAAACAAAACCTGCAATTAAGATGTATGCAGAGGTTTATGTATGTTGCTGTATTTTCTGAAGAAGAAACTCCATTTGTAAGTTTAGATTTGGCTGTCCTTTTTTCGTTTTCTTACTCAGTATTTTATAAGCTTCCATTTTCTTTTGCTTGTACAACCGTTGAGCTTCTTCTCTTTGTTGTTTTCTTTTTTCTGCTTCCTGAAATTAAATAAATAGGTGCGATCATAAAATAATTACGTATCTTCTATAACTGTGAAGCTATCTATAAGCAATACATTTCTTTTTTGTAAACGTACTGGCAATGAGGTATTGGAGCAACACTACAAACACCATTACTCTCAAAAGCTTCACCACGATGCACTTCTAACACATGCTACAATCACTATGTTGCGTAGAAAAATCCTACGACAAGGTTTGTCGCTAAAATACGCACCACTTTCTTTCTGCAAAATGAGCTCCTTGACTTTTCTCCTTAAATGAAAAAGTGACAAAGATTTCCCACTTTCTCCTCGAGTGAGCTAACTAGCTTGCTTCACTTACACCATGTCCTACCAAAACATGCAAGACATCACAACTCAGACTGAAGGACTGCTCCAAATCATCTGGATGATTGCTTCTCGTAAAGCTTATTTTTTGAAATGCAGCGCAATGCCGACCACAAAAGCAGATGTTTCTGCAGAATTCCCACACAGATGATGATTCATCAACTATGGTTTTCATTCCAAAGCATAGGTAGCTTCTGTGATATACAAAAATTAAGAATGCTCTGTGATGTAGAATATAAAGTTAACCAGAAATAACCCAGTCTAAGGGGCTTTGGGTGTGGGGCAGAACCTGCAAAGATATCGTTACTGTAAAATAAGTGAAACATTCTGAATGCTGACTAATTGCTTTCATTCCCTCCGTTTTTCTTTTTAAACCAGAGTAGCATCAACTCTTAACTTGCCCGTAATTCAGTTCCTAGCTAATGATTTTACTGCTGTTCAGCATACTGTTGTAAACAACATCCATTTAAGCTACCAACCAAATGCTTACTCAAAGCAAGAACATTCATCTTACTCAGGTACTTGTTACTTACCTTTCTATTTTTTCTGATATCTACTGAATCCTAGGTTTTGTATAATGTGGAGTCCCAAACTGTGCGTTTAGGCTTATTTCTTTTCCCAAAATAAATAACAGCAAATTCAGTGTTTGTCAACTTACACAGAGGGTAAAGTATGTAATTATCATACTAGTATTCCACATAAATGATTACTATTATTGTGGCATTTAGCTACTGCTTGTTTTGCCTAAATATCTTGAATTAGACCAAAAATGCTAACACCTCCCCTCAGACAACTCTGACGTGCTGCTCCAAGAAAATTCCTTGCAGTCTTGCTGGGTTTTCATTTGTTCCTATCTTCTCTAAATAAGCTGGTCATAACATTAATTTCTAGTATTCAAAAAAGCAGCTCTCAGCGAACCACCACGTGACTCACACAGAACCACAGATCAGCTTGCAAAAAACTACTCTAGTTTTCAATACAGCTAAACTGAAGAAACAGTGTGTTGTATCCAGCTATGTATGTATGCAGTGTTTATAGCGTGGTTACTGAAACTGACTCTGTCAGCAGTAAGTTACACACCACCTGCAACGCTGTCATGTGTGCCATTCTACTGTGCAACAAACAACACACTGGAAGAGAACAAGGCTAGTGAAATAAGGATGTCTCAAATGAATAGCTCAACTGAATTATTCAACACTGATAATATTAAGATATGCCCTGTAAAAGTAAGTCCCATTAAATTAGCATGAGGAAAACAATTGCTGAAGATTTTGGCTGTGGATACTATGGTATTAATCTGGTCTTTTGTCTGTAATCAAGAAAGATCTCTACTTAAGATTTACCTCTTTCTTTCTAGCACGCTCAGCCTTTATTTTCTCATATTCCTCTTTCGCCTTCTGATTGGATGTTTTCTTTTTAAACTTCCCTTCAGTCATAACTGGCCTGTAAGAAAAAGTACATGTGTTTTACACACGGACTACTGCCAACCAGACATAACCACACATCCCATAGCCACTGCAGAATCAGAGCAGAGCCTTCCACTCCTCCGCTGGCTTTTGCATATTTGGAGAAGTGAACTAGAAATACAGATTTCAGAAGGCTCATCCTGCTCCACTAAATGGATACCTATTTGCACCACCCCTGCTGGACACCCAACACCGTCACATGTAACGTAATGAGCAGCTAGCAAAGTAATATAAACTCAAAGTAAAAGCAAAGCAAACTCCTCCAGCAAAGTAAACTCCTCCAATGACACGTGTCCTGCAGACTGGACTGCACACAACTTTTAGTAGCACATGCACCTTATCTGCTGGATCTTCACATGGATGATGGTTCATGAAGTTTACAGTGTCTAAAAGAGGGGGGTTTTTTCCCCCATCACATGGGTTGTTCAGAGCCTGAAAAAAGTCAATACACTAGCTTAGAGCTGTGTTAGCTCTTTCTAGTTTTCACACACAGATACAACGACAGGGATATGACAGCAGCCAGCTGTTAGCAGACTGCCCGCCCCAGAAGCCAGGCTGACATGGCAAGGTGCAAAAGCACGGTAGTAACAATGCCTTTCTAAAAGTTTCTTTCTGAAGGAGATGGCATATTATTGTCCTTAATTTTCTGAAATTGGGAACTGAAATTATATTCCTTCCAAATTTGAATATAAAAAAACCTGCCCAGGTATATTTCACCAAAGAAAACAGTACAAGAAAACCAGCGCCATTTGTCTGGCATTTACTGTCACACTACTTTGAGTCTCCTCTCCTGGTTATTTAGTTCAAATTATTATTTTTTCTGATCCACAATAAAGCCATCACATAAAACACTGTAGTAGCAAAGACATTTCACACTTGAAAAATATAAGCCTTGCTAGATATTTAACAACTCTTCATAAAAGAAGATTTCAATTACTCTATCACTCGCATTACAAAAAGCTGAAAACCAGCCATCACCATCTAGATTTCAGCCAGATGATCAAGAAGTATTTGCTCATACTTTCATTTAGAAATGCCACTCTCTCTTCTGGCGGGGAGGTATCTCTTTGCTTTGTCCTTATCTCCATCTTGTGGCAATACTGTCCAATGACACCTCATCATCCCAAGTACAAAACCACTTGAATTGCAGTATGAGCTAAAAATAGAATTACCTAACTAAAGTCTTATTTTACACTGCCATAGAACACTGAATTCTATCCCACAGACTCCATGCATCACACCACGTCACAGATTAGCAGTCACAATTTTGCAGAATTATTAATTCTGGTTTACAATCACAATAAGCATATTTTAATTTTGCTTAAAGAAACCTCTAGTTTAAAGAACATCATCAATCCTATTTCAGACATACCCAAGAATTAGCTGCCTATTCCAGACACAAGTCCTTTCTCCCACTGCTGTGCTTATATGTGACTGCTTTTCGCCCCCTCTCTCCTGAAATTCTTTCCAGGAAAGTTCAGATGTAGATACACCTTGGAATTCAAAGACTTCCAACTCGTTCAGAGGACAAAGGGGCACTATCTCAATCACTATATGCATTTAAACACACTGCCAGGACAGTGTTAGACCTGAGTGACTAGTCTTTTCATTTTACTGACATACCTAACCAAGATTTCAGGGGGAATTACTGTCACACAGGCGAAAAAATGTTTTAAGTTGTCTGACATTTGTTAGAAGACAAATGAGAAGCTCCATTTGACTTCTCCCATTTATGATAATTTAAAACAAAACAATAAAAAAAAAATACCAAGAAAACCCCAAATACCACTGGCAAACTATTATGATATCTCTAATATTTAAGCTTATTATTTTCACCAAAAACACTTTACTAATCTAAGGATTTGAAAAGAAAAAAAAAACAAAAACAAAACACAAACGAAACAGAGGATTCAGTAAAGTTCATAGTTCAAATACTCCCAAAACTAGCCAAACCACAAAAGGCTAACCACACACAATATCACTCATTCAAGCAAAAAAATAATGCAACATGAGAAGATAACTTATCAAAATGGAAATAGAAAGATAATGCAAAAAAAGTTTCTAACAAGTGACAATCTAAAAATACTGAGAATCAACTCAAAGGAAAACTCCGTAGACTCAAGAGCATACTTCCTGAAAAGCAGGCTCTTCTGTTTGTAGGTAGCGTAACAAATTGGTGACATACTTACTGCTCTTGGGCTGAACCCTATCCTTAAAGTGCAATTTTAACTGTCGTATTATTTCACAGAATCACAGACTGGTTTGAGTTGGAAGGGACCTTAAAGACCATCTCGTTCCAACCCCCCAGCCATGGGCAGGGACACCTTCCACTAGACCAGGTTGCTCAAAGCCTCATCCAGCCTGGCCTTGAACACTTCCAGGGATGGGGCATCCACAGCTTCTCTGGGCAACCTGTTCCAGTGCCTCACCACCCTCTCCAGGAAGAAAGATTTCTGTGGAATCAAGCCCTAAACATCATCATATTTGCTTTCTAATTCTGATGCAAACACAACAAGTTGTATGTTTCAATTTTCTAACATCTAGGAAAAACATTTAAGACAATAACATATTTTTCAGTAAAGCAAATCACCCTACTGAACTCCATGTAAAGTGTAAGATCTAAACTAATTCTTTAGTGATGGAAAAAAATACTTGCTTTCAAGACATATATTTCAAAAACTTACTCTACTGTTTTATTAAGTTTTTCTTCTGATAAAACTGAATCATCTGGAGGCCTGCGCCGTTTCTTCAGCATTTCTTCCTCAGCTAGGTAAAGATGTTTCAAGTGCTCTGGATAAGTATCGGTAAACTGATTATCCTGTTGTGAATGGACCTTTTTTCCTTTCTTCAATAATTTCCTGTATTGTCTTTCAATCTTCTGTTTTCTCCGAAATGCAAATCCTCGTCCTGAGAAAATAAGAAAAAGGGTTAATTAAATACACATTCACTGAAGTAGTACCAAACCGTTTAATTGTTGCCAGGACCATTTCAATCAATTTTCTTTCCAAAACAGAAGAAAACCCACACTATTTGTACCAATTTTAATAAAGACCAGTCAATGATTCAAGGAAAAACTGTTATGTATCTGTTCCCTACTGTAGTGTTGCAACTTGTACCGATGTACTAAAAATTTTCATCTAAACCCTTGAGAGAATATGCCATTGCAAATATACTAATTAATGCACACTCAACATTATAGGCCTTTGTCAGTGCTTTCTGGGTGCTTTGACGGTGGGATCGAGTGCACCCTCGGCACGTTTCCTAACAACACCAAGCTGTGTGGTGCGGTCAACACGCTGGAGGGAAGGGATGCCATCCAGAGGGACCCTGACAGGCTGGAGAGGTGGGCCACTGCCAACCTCATGGAGTTCAACAAGGCCAAGTGCAAGGTCCTGCACCTGGGTTGGGGCAATCCCAAGCACAAGCACAGGCTGAGTGGAGAGTGGATAGAGAGCAGCCCTGAGGAGAAGGACTTGGGGGTACTGGTGGATGAAAAGCGGGACATGAGCCGGCAGCGTGTGCTGGCCGCCCAGAAAGCCACCTGTATCCCAGACTGTATCCAGAGAAGTGTGGCCAGCAGGTCGAGGGAGGGGATTCTCCCCCTCTGCTCTTGTGAGACCCCACCTGGAGTGCTGCGTCCAGCTGTGGGGCCCTAAACATCAGAAGGATATAGACCAGTTGGAGCAAGGCCAGAGGAGGCCACGAAGATGCTCAGAGGGCTGGAGCACCTCTGCTATGGGGACAGGCTGAGAGAGTTGGGCTTGTTCAGCCTCGAGAAGAGAAGGCTCCAGGGAGCCCTTATAGCACCTTCCAGTACCTGAAGGGGCCGACATGAAAGGAGGGGGGGCTGTTTACCTGAAGGGGCCGACATGAAAGGAGGGGGGACTGTTTACAAGGGCCTGTAGTGACAGGACAAGGTAACAAGTTTAAATTGAAAGCAGGGAGGTTTAGAACAGATATCAGGAAGAAGTGCTTCCTGGAGAGGGAATGTCCCATCCCTGGCTGGAGAATGAGGGCATTCTTGCTTATCACCCCTTGGCTCTCCAGTTGACAAATCAGGTTGTGGACAGGAAGCAAGGAGTCTGGGTTGGTGCAATATTGTTGCTGGTGCACTGCTGTAGTGGCAATTGGCACCTGTTGGTCTGCAACCTTTAGCAATCCCACAACAGAAGGGTCCTGTGAGACACCAGGCAAGGCAGACAGCTGCTCAATGTCCTCAGTCTCCAAAGCAGCTATGCCAAAAAAATACTAAAAGTAGTATTTTTATTGCTACTACTTTCCAGTAGTGTACTTTTAAAAGTACACTACATCATAGAAAGATTTAGCCTTAAATAGCCATCAGAAAACTGTTATTTTGATCCCAATCCTTACATAACCACCATCAATCTTAACTTAAAACATGTTTTTCCTAAAATGTTAATCAGTTATTTTTTACTTTTTCTTAGTCTTAAGAGCTCCTGACTTTTATAATATTCATTAACAAAACAGTTTCTAAAGGTAGCAAGTCCAAACTATACCCAATATTTCCTTTGATTCTTTCTCCAAAGCTGACATTTTAGAAAAAGCTGCAAAGGCCGATGCTTATCAGTTTATGTTCACATTTACCTAACTGTCAACAGCCTGAAGCTACTTCCCAATACGCTTCTATTTTAAATATGCAGCTTCATAGAACACTAGTAATGAGTCCTAAACCAGAGAACCATCACTACCCGGCCCGAGCCGGGCACCGAAGAAGAGCCGGTTCCGCAACCCCGCGGTCCATGAATTCCAGCTCACGCAGGCCGTCCCCAGCTAGCCTTGCGGTCACCGGCCCGGGCTGCCGCAGAGGACAGTGCCCTCGCCCAACGCGCGTTTAATTATCCCTTGGGCAGCAGACGAGGCCGGGGCTCCAAGCCCCGCAACACGTAACCCCTCACCACCGGGCCGGGGCCAAGCCAGATCAGAGGCACGGCGGGAAGCCAAGGGCCGCGGGACCGGGCCACCCTCGCCAACCTCTCTCTCTCCAGGACACCCCCAAGGCCCAGCGGGAGTCAGTGGCAGCTGC